TCATTTGTATCGCCCCCACCGATAATCAGCCGGTGGGTCATCAGTAAGTAGGCAAAGTATCAATGCGCAAGTGCCTGGAGAATCGCGTTCCTCCAGATCGGTTCCGAAAGATACTTGAAGCTCATGTGTTATTTGGGGCAGACTTTTACGCAGACAAATACTCGTATTTCGGTCAAATATGACAATTCACCTCATCGAATGGAGAAAAAAAAACAAGGATTGGTAAAAAAATCTAATCTTTTAAATTTGTAGTGGAATTCATCAGAAACTCACACAGGATTTCCTTCAGTATTACAGCGAGATAAGGTACCGCCGAATCAGTCCCCTAGGTGTTAACGCGCGAGGTTCGGGCACGTGATGAATGAGAGCGAGAATGACAGCGAAACAGAAGTGTCATTGGCTACCATGTCAATAGGGGTGAATGAGCAGACGAATTTGTGGACAAGTCACTGATGTAATTGGGAAAAAGCAAGAAGGACGAGAGAACCTCTCTCTCTGTCTCCCTCTCTGTGTGTGGCACACTCCGCGAATCTTTCACTAGTTCGGAAATTTTCGGACTCTCATCGAGTGCGCTGAGTTCTGTCCGTGTGGCAGTTCACTGCATACGCTGGTAGGTCCATGGGATAGTCAAATGGCTCCTTTCGGTGAACGAAGATAGGAATGTGGAACGCAGTCGAAGAAGAACAAAACCTAAGAAATCCCATCTGACCAGTTTCGTGGACACGTCTACCGATTTAGCTATATGATGAATCAGGGAGGTGATAGCATCCAATTTGAACCTGTCAGTTTTTATTAGCGCGTATATTTGAAAGATGCAATCACACGTTCTGACAGTGATACGTTTCTTCACTTTATGACCACATGCTGTGAGGTCAATGGGTTGGACTAGGTTGGGCTAGAATGCTGGAAATATTCGGTCTATGGAGAAGAATAATTGTGAAACCCCGTGGCAATTATGGGTAGAGTATGAGCACAAGGATATGTCAACAGAAGCCTCAGTTTGGTCGGAGGTGAGTGTCTCTGGTTGCGGCTCGTCACCATTCCTTTGCGCCTCCAGAAATGCTCCCATAGAACCAAGCGCCTCAAATAGCTACTGAGGAAGCCTTACCAAACAGCCTTCCCGTGGGGCGGTGTTTTCCAAGCGGAGAGGACAAAAGCCAATATCCGAGACTGTAACCGGGTCGATGAACCACTGGCAGTTCCTCTAGAGGAGTTAGCTAAAATTCCTGATTCCTAAACCAATCAAGGAGAGGCGTACGAATCACACACACACACACACACACACACACACCTTCCTCACTGTGGTAGTAATCACCTGGTTGATTGGGTATTGGGGTGTATCGGGCATTTTTGACATTTTATCTCGTTCAAAAGACGTATGATCCGATGAACGAGACACTGCAGTCCCCAGTTGACTGCAGTTTTCACCTACCGAGCCCGCTGTCTTGCCGGTCAGGTTCGGTTAGCCGTATGCTCCAGTTGTAAATTCCCCAAGAAAATTCACCTGCTTTAGTCCTGGCTAAACAACCTGGCAGTTTCGCACCCTACAGCAAATAATGCATCTTTTTTTTCTTGCAAAGGGGATTGCACCGTAATTTGTTTGGCACACAGTCTGAACTCTAACGTGTGTGAAAATATGAAATATATAGAATATTTGTATCAAGAAGATTAGTGAACGAAGCCGTCATATCAACAGTACTGTGTGTTTAAAAATGATGATCAAAAAAAGTTAAATCCGATAGAGCCGCGGTTGTTCTGGTTGTAGAGGGAGGAGCTTGAATTTCTACGAATTCTATTCTCAAAAATGAGCAGAAACTTTCAAAATTTAGCAAACTGAAGCGTCATGGTTTGAAATGTGAAATGTACAACTTTAAACGTCCGTGGCACAGCTCCTCGGTCTCGTTTCCCCGTTTACATAGAATTCGAACACCTTTCCTTGGATGTGACTACTTATGTGTTTTTGTTGGCATATGGCGCATTGATTTGTTTCGTTTTTTTCTTCATTAATGTGCGACTGTGTCTAGCTGATCATTGTTAAATGCCAGGCTGCGCAGGAATGTATGCATGTATATTCACTGGCAGATATACATGTGTTTCCTATCAAATGGGTCGAGCAATCGTTCGACGGTGCGTAAATGTGTTTGTATGTGATTGTGGGCACGTGACTACCGGAATCGAGCACAACAGTTATCAGTTATCAGTACACCGTACTTTATACGAGGAAAACATGTCTGCCAGTTGCTGGACATTGACTGAGTTTGTGGAAATGAACTAACCTTGTGATTTTCCGCTATATGTTGATCTATCCAAGAGAGTTAATAGGTCCATCAAAAGGTATACCCAGAACGGGAAAATGTGGAGCATCAAATGGTACATTAAGCTCCATGGCATCATTCAAGCGTAAAGTGCTTGTTCAAAACGGACAGGAGCATCTGTGCCTGCACTCACCCCCGGTGGTTGTCAGCTGGCAGTAGTTGGACGCTTCAACTGCCTTAACAGCTTGATTGCAACTTGTGTTCGTGTTGTAGGAGAGGAGATCACAATTATAAAAGCTGGAGCAGTTTTTTCCAACCTCTGTGACATTTGGGAGGAGCACAATGACATCTGACAGTCCCTTAAGGGAAAGATGTGCGTTGCCGCAGTTCGTAGTGTTCTACTTTACGGTTGGCCTCACCGAGCTGAGTGAGAATGCCAAACAAGCAGTATGGATCAGGTTGACAACAACCCAGCCGTGAGAAGAGTAATCAATACGAAGAAAATCTTGTTTAAATGATTGTTCTTCACTAAATTTTGTCCATTTGTCGTTTATTAATTACTAACCAGGAATGGAATTATCTTTTTTTCCCGTTAGTTTTGAAAATGAAATGTGACGAAGAAACAAAGAAAGTAGAAGAGTTACGCGTAGAAAATCTGAAGTTGGTTCGTTTACATAAGTGAGTCTGTGTGTGTTATTATTTGATCCAGTACGCGTTTAAATTATAAACTGACAGGCTCATGTGATGAAAACAAGTTATGGAACGCCTCTGTTGCTTTCTCGTTGATGAACATTAAAAGGAAGTGTTGGGTTGCATCACGCTCTAGGTTCATTATTCTCCATCGATTTCCCTTAAATTAAATTCCGTATAAAAGCCAGAAAAAGGAACCGAAAAATATGAGGATGGCTTCATGAGCGAGTATATCGGTTACGTAAGCAACAATGCTGAAACCGTATTGATCACTAACCAGTAGAAACATAACGAAAGAGGATCCTGTTGGATAGACAATAATCAGACAAACATCATCCATACCAAATAGACGGTACCCATTGCGATAAGCAGTACATCCGATGGACGGACAACCGGCACACAATAATTGACCATTAAAGAGAACCGAGTCAAGAGAGAACCAGGACACCAAGCAGAATATGAACACATTAAATTGTCTATCAAAACCTGCATGAAACGATCGGGGAGGACGGTGATCATCCGGAAAATTTGTCTTTTGACATCGAGGTCAAAGAACAGTGAGGAGGCGTGACCCACTGTCGTTAATTTCCCTCC